GTTAAGCGTCTGCCTTTGGCTCAGGTCATGATCCCAGGTCCTGGGATCGAGTCCTACGTTGGGCTCCTTGCTCAGTGGGAAGCCTGTTTCTCCCACTCCTGCTCCCCCTGCTTGTGTTCCCTCTCTCGCTGTGTCTCTGTCAAAACCTTTAAAAATTTTTAAAAAATGAAGAGGCCTTTTTATCAGCAGAGCTCAACAGGCTTTCTGTTTGGAGCTTTCTGAGTTCTGAGGTTCAAAGTGTCCTTTGTTCCTTCCCTTCTAGGTCAGTCAGCACAAACCGGGGCACTCAGCGTGTCACCCCAGCCCTGGAGGAGCTGCACAGGGGAGGCAGCCTTGCACGTTCCAGAGATGGGGGGACTCAGCCCGTGACCAACTGCCATGTGGCTGGCAGAGCAGGACTGTCGCAAGCTGTTCCGTGACGACTGACACACTGGTGGAAAGGAAGTTTCCAGTAAGGAAATGACAGTACAGTGTGGGTAATGATGGCCATCCAGTAGGAAGAGCTCTCGTTCCCAGCCGAAACCTGCCTGCCTCTGCTGGAGGTGTTCTCAGAACAGAAGAGACACGATCGGGTACCATTTCCCATCAGCAGCGGGTGTCTGGACAAGACGTCAATGTGAATAAAGGCCCAGTGCAGCCCTGTGTATCTTGATTAAATTACTTGATAGTAAATAAAAGGTCTGAGTGCTGTTGGTTTAAATCTGACTTGTTCAGTTGTGTTTCAAAGAGCTCCCCCTACACTTGCCCCTAAACCAATTTCATAAGAAGTACTTTCTCTCCCGGGGCCCGTGGGTGGCTCAGTGCATTAAGCCTCTGCCATCGGCTCAGTTCATGATCTCAGCATCCTGGGATGGAGCCCCGCATCGGGCTCTCTGCTCAGCGGGGAGCCTGCTTCCCCGCGCCCCACCCCCCGCCCCACGCCAGCCTCTCTGCCTACTTGTTATCTCTCTCTCTGTCAAATAAATAAATAAAACTTTTTAAAAAAAGAACTTTCTCTCCCTGTGGTGGGAGAACTCTCATGAGCTGAGAGATTTTCTCTTGCTAGTTTTTCTGTCTGGTGGTTTCGTAATTCTACTACGAAATGACTCCGGAGTCAATGTTAACGACAAGACTTGTTTTGTTTTGCTAGGATGTGGATTTTTTTTTTTTAAGATTTTTATGTATTTATTTGACAGAGAGAGAGATCACAAGTAGACGGAGAGGCAGGCAGAGAGAAAGAGAGAGAGAGGGAAGCAGGGTCCCTGCTGAGCAGAGAGCCCGATGCGGGACTCGATCCCAGGATCCTGAGATCATGACCTGAGCTGAAGGCAGCGGCTTAACCCACTGAGCCACCCAGGCGCCCGGATGCGGATTTTTTGATGAAGTTCAGTTGTGTGTTTCCCGGGGAAAAGCTAGTCTACATACAAAGGAATTCATGAAGACTATCAAGGAAACTGTGTTGAGTTCCGGGATCGTAGCAGTTATCCAACACTCAGAGTCTGTTTACGACTGTTGTAGCCCAGGAGAAGTCCCAACACAGACCAGATTTAAAATGTTTCTTTAGGCACATTTAAATCATCTCAGAAGTCTGCTGCTGTGATTTTTAGACCCTATTTTGAAACTCAAGTTTTTCAAGCACCTAAATCAGGGGTTGGCAAAAATCCTCTGCTGTAGGAAGTCAGATAGTAAACGGTCCAGGCTTAATGCACAAATCCCTGCTCACTCCTGTCACACGCAGCTTTCTGCATGAAAGCTGTCACAGACATTATGCAAATGAAGGACCTAGTGTATTCCAATAAAACTTTATTTACAAAAACGGGGGGGGGGCGATTTGGTCCAGAGGGTCTAGCTAGCCTTAATTTGTCAATCCTGGGTCTAGGGGACCTGGAGAGGAATAGCTTCCACCCAGAAAAGAACCCCCCCCCCCATGAGGTCAAGAAACAGACTTAAGGATCACACGATACTTTTAAAATGCAAAAGAAGATTAGCTCAGCCAGTTAATCTTTTTATTTTGAGTTTTGTAAAAAAAAAAAAGCTTTGAGAAAAATGTGTTAAATGTCAGTCAAGGGCAGGAAAACATATAGCTAGCTTTACAATATCAATCTAAACATATATACAAAGGCAAACAAAGTAAAATGCTAGGGAAGGGTAGCACTTTGGGGGCCTAACTGCGGGTTTTCCTTAGTGCACATAAAGGTTGCCGATAGCTCCAAGTCTTTACTTTTTCACAGTTCAACATACTTTTATTTCATATAACATGTTTATATAGCATACTATAATGTTAATTTTATAAAAACCACCGGTTTGCTACTGTGAATGGAAACAGAAGACAAAATTCTCCCCAATTACATATGTAAGCGCTCTATAAAAAAGTTCCCCAGAAGGTCATATCCCATGTTAAATTCATCCTATCCTATTTTTAAAAATTGCTCTTCACCCATTAAATGAATCTTGGTGGCCTTACCATGTAATCATTTTATGGGACAGAGTGAAACTTCCTAAGTGAGAAGGACCAGATGTAGTTTATGTAAAAAATCAAAAAACAACCTAGGAGGAAGGGCTCCTGCTCGGAAGTTGCTCTTTGAACAAGTGATTTCAGGGATAAATTCCAAATCCACAGACGTAACACCCCCCCACACCCGGAAATCATTCCTCCACTTCCCCAAAGCCCACCCCCAGATGTCCAAGTGGTGGGACAGACACCCAGTTGCCCTGGGGCCTTACCTGCTTTCCACACTGTCAACAGCACAGCTAGAGTTCCTCTCCCCATGTACAAGGCCCCTTCAGTCTGAGTTCCTCCCACATCCACAGGCCCCCGACCGCTGACCCTGACCTGTGGCAATTCTGTTAACCCTTATTTCAAAGGTGGCCGTCCTAAAGAGAAAGTGGCCTCTCTCAGGGGCTCCCTGTGTGTTTCAGGGCTTTTCAAAATCTGGCCAGACAGGCGGGTCTGCCTTCTCTTCTCCCAGCCTCATGTGGCAGACAACTGGCCGCCTGGGTGATCCGTGTGGGCCCTGGCTCTACCCTGCCTTACAAAAATACAACGAACATCAAAAACTTTGGTTTTGCTCTTCACGAGTTCTGCTCACAATGGGCGGCGAGACATGTTTGTTAGCTTAAAAACAAAATAAAAGCCCTACTTAGGAGCATTGAAACTGGGAAAAAGGGGCTGATTCCTAGGTTTGGTTTTGAAAAGATTGTCAAAGAGCCTACTTGCTTTTCCTAGTTAGAGACTAGCAAAGCTTTCTGGAGTGTTCCTCTGTATATTGTCCTTATTGGGTTTTAGAAAGGCGGAAGGGCCCTTCAGGGTACCAGAGTGAAAGCAGCATTCGGATGGGTTGTTTCTAACTCTTGGCCGTTAGATTCCCTTCAGCGCTGCCGTAGCAGGGAGCCGCATCGGACACTTGAACAGAGACCAACAGAAGAGATGGGAGCTCAGCAGCGTCCCTTTAACGCACGGCACAGACTCCCTCCTACACGAGCTCATCCACAGAATCAGCATCAAGAGGCCTGCATGAAACTCAAGTTCCCCATTTCCCTCGCGGGTGAGAAGTCACGCACTTACTGAATCAGCAAGCTGGCTTTCCAGAAGCCCTCATTCCGGATGACCTCTTACGACAGATGGGGAAAGCAGCGTGCCGAGACACCTCTCAGAACTCACGATGGGTACCAAGCTCGGGGCCTGAGGGGTTGAGTCTCCCCTCTGTTGAGCTGCTCAGCGGCCCTGTCTGCCAGTCCGTCTCCCCTCAGGGCATCAGTGGTGTTTCTACATTTGGAAACTGTTCTGTTCATAGTAAAGTATCTGACACCTTAATATGACCTTGATTTCCCCAGCAGACACAGAGGAGGAGCGAGAGAACTGGGGGTGGGGGTTGTGAATGTGTGTGTCATGAAACAGCCCCTCTACTTTGGAAGGAAATCGCCCTCGACTGAAATGCTCGTGGCCAGCTGAGAGAACGTTTCTTGTGTTTTTTTAAGAGACTTCATTTGTCCCCCCAACCACAGAGGACAAATGTCCTCTGGTCTACAGAGCACAGCACAACCTGAAAGCTCCTTGCTGTTTGCCTGATGAGACATTTGATGTCGCAGTGAGGGTTTGGGGCTGCAGGGCGTGGGGGCTGGTTCGGCCGCGCCAGGGATGGGCAGAGGCTGTGTGATCGCATCTGCCCTCCTCCTGCACGGCAGCCTCATCTCAAGGGCAGATTTCCTTCTCCGGGAGACAAAGTTCAGGTCTCCTCTAGTCCCCAAAGCAAGTACAACCAGGCACCGCTGGAGTGCACAGCGCCTGTCTGCTGGCCTGGACAGGAGTCCGCGGACACCATGGCCTCATGACTTCCAAGCAGTCCCGAGCTTCCCCCCACCCCGCGGCCTGCACTCTGCGTATGAAACAGGCCCACACCTCTGCTGAGGAGTTCAGCAGGGATTTGGGCCTGGGGACAAGCCAGGTGTGACAAGAAAGCAAGCTGACTGGACTGCAAAGGGGACTCCGAGTAATCACAGGCTATACTGAAGAGACGACTTCTCCAAAGCCTTCACACCTGATAGCTACTCTGTGAAGACCTAACCCCTTTCTTTCCATGGAAGGGGGCAAAGACGACAGGTTTTTAACCACCCCCACCCACCCAGTCCATCCACTCAAGTCCCCCATCACTCCTTTCCCTGCACTAAGGTGTTCAAAGGTGACATTTAGGGTTGTGCTTCACGGAGTGCATTCAGGAGTTCGGCACAGACAATGTGCACGAAATCCCTTCGCACCTGTCTGGGCTGTATTAATTGATCGACACTAGGTTTGTTCCAGAGGACTAGCAACAAGAGGAAACTCAGTCTGCTAGACCATTCTTCAAGGTTCCAAACAGGTGCCGCGGCAAGTTCTGGACTAAAAGGCTCCCAAGTCTGGCTGCCCAGGAGAACCCCTGAAGATCTACACTAAGCACGGAAGCCAGGCCCTGCTCCAAGCCTGCTGGCTATGAATCTCTGAGCACAGGGCCCTTGCACTGATACTTAAAAAAAAAAAAAAAAACAAAAAAAAAACTAGCCAGATAATTCCGCATGTGCAGCCAGGGTTGAGAACCTGTGCTCTAGGACACCCAGCTCTGTGGAATTGTCACCCCCCCCCCCCAACCCAGAACAAATATGTTTATAAGAGGTTAAACCAGATGCACTCAGCAGTTTCAATCTGATTTATGCCAGACTGGCAGCAGAGAGTCGGTCTTGAGCTAGATGGTTTTGGGGCTTTGTGGCACCCACTTTTCTCCTCTCGGCATAAGCATAAAGCTTGTAGAAGGTGGAAGCATTTTGATGAACAGGCTCCTTTCCCGGGACCCCTGATAAGGTCAGGATTATTCTCCACATCTTGCAAACAAAAATTAGGGCCACAGGTCATTGACTTACTCTAATCCACTGAATAAAAAATCCAACCAAATAACTACAACCCTAGCAAAATTTTGATCTTGGCAAATCTCCATTTACTTATAGTAGGTCCAAATAAAACGTTTGCAGTCAAGACTATAAGACCTTTTTTGGGGGAAACACAACAATCTACGGATTGACTTAGAACTAGGCTGGAGAACTCTGGTTACCTTCCCTCCTTATGAGGGCAATTTCTTATTGATTTGCTGAAAGCTTCCTGGAAAACCAGAATGACAACAAAGCCTTGACTTGAATGAACAGAGAAGGGGTTCTACCTGGTTGGCTCTTTTCAAGAACCTTATCAGGGTTTTTCTGGTAGCTTCTTCCCTCCAAAATGAAATAAGTAAGCAACGTTAAGAGGCAAGCAAGACTTTATAAAGACCCATCCAAAGAGCGGACCAGCCTCTCCCTCCACCTCCACAGACAACACACACACAGGAAAGCCTCCTCACCTTCCGAGTTTATAGGCATGACTGGTAGTTACTGAGATAACTACTGAATAAAACCTGTGCTGGGTTTGGGCACACAAGCCAAGCCTGGGAGCTGCTCCCTACACTCTGACCCCACAACACAGATGACCTCCAGGGGCTCTGGAAAAAACCTGTTTCTCTGGCTCTGACACAGAGGTTTTCTCAAATCCTTCACTAGCGTGGGTACTTTGGAGCCTTACGGGATTAGTTAGGTGGTTTAGCTCGTTTTTTAAGCTTACAAAGCCCATGGAGGCCCATGAGAAAACCAAAATGGACTGTAAGGTACATAGAAAGGAAGGAGGGGAATAAAAATCATTTAATTCTATTATATCGAACCATATGAAACTGCCACTTCTGACTTTGAAAAATGGGTCAATATCGGCAATTTCGTATGGCTCAACTTAGTAATTTTTTGCCTGTTTTGCACAAATTATCAATTCAAAAAGCAAAGCATTAATGTCTTATCTAAATATTAACCATTAAAAATGTGAGTTAAGATGATTAAATGGCTGGTTTCATTATGGGTGTACTTGACTGGGCCGCCATTTTGTCTGCCACAATAAGAAAAATGGCCACATTTTATGAAAGCATTTTTTTTAAGAGACTGGATTTTCTTTCTAAGAGACCAGCACTGAAGCATAGAGACCCAGGGAAAATCTCAAATGTGGTTTCCAAGAGCTCTTTCAGTATTTTAGTTACCACATAGAATAGCTCACCCACAAAGAACCCAAACTAAACACTTAGATTTCAAACCATACTCACACATTAAGCTGGTACAAGCCTCCCCAGATACCAAGAAGACGACCCTTCTCTACATGGCACTCGGTGTTAAGACATCTAGATTCTTAACCTTAAAGCAGACTAAGTGTCCACCGGACTGAATGATGCTCAATTTTCCATTGACTTGCCTCTCTCATTCTTTACCCAGCCACTGACATCCCATGCATTTAGTAGCTCAAAGTTTGGACTTCTACTCTGTCTTTAGAACAGCATCTTGTCTTTTATGGTCAACTTTTCTCGCAGTGTGTTCCCCCTGCCCCAACTCTGAAGACTAGCCTATTGCCTCCTAGGCTTCTTGCTGCTCTCTCGTCCCCAGAGAGAAGCATCCCACACATTTTGGTGTTATTCCTAAACCCCACAGTAGACACCTCGGTGGTGGCCCTGAAGAAGTGACTGATTTTCGTTCATCAGTCTCTAAACAGTTTCTTCTGTCCTCGGATTAATTCCAAAAACCCAACAGTACGACACAATTTTGCCTTTGGTTTTCAACATTTCAGTAGCTACTTCTTTCTGGAGATTTCCAGAGAAGGAATTCCAATTCTTTCCCCATGTTGAAATGTTCACGGATAGAGTTCCAATCTTCGGTCTACAGGAAACCCAGGTAGCACAAAAAGTCCAGAAGCCTGACATGAGTTCACAGTCCCGCAGCCGTCCGCGCTAGGGCTGCCGCACCGACTGCTTCCTCCTGAGCTCTGTCCCATTGACCACTGGCTTCCCATGACCTTTGGAGGTCCGGTCTCAGCGGCCTTCCTTCGGGACCGTTCTTCCAGCCTGCTCTCACCCTGCCTGGCTACTCCTGCAGCCAGCTCAGCTTGAGCTGCTGCGTACGGACCCGAAGCCTCTCCTGGGAGGCCTCCCCACACCTGCCGCGCTTGGCTTGGATTCCGCAGGTGAATGAGTTGGACCGTTAAAGCATGCTATTTGTTTGACTCGGAACAGCACACTACTATGTGAGAAAGTGGGAATGGGTCTGCATTTGTCTTGATGTAGACACACTTAAGCCCCACTGTCTGCATCTTGGGTTAAATTTTAAATGTTAAGAGAGCCTCAGACCTCAATAAAACAGAAGCATTAGTTCCACTGAGTCAGTGCCCTGGCTCAGACAAGCCTGGGCTTGCAGCCAACCTCACCTCACGGGTGGGCTGCCCCATCGCTGCAGGCTGGGGGTGGGGGGGCAGTCACGCATTATCCTCCAGGGGGAACACTAGGCGCGTGCCCCGACTGGACACCGGCTGGTCTCCTATTCCCAGAGCTCGATCCAGTACCTCCTCCGAGCTGCTCTTGGTTCTCCGACTGCCCTCGAGGCTCGTGGAGGCCGTGTGGGAGCCCGAGGAGCCATTTGCAGTCACTGTGCTGTCCCCATACGTCAAGGTGAGGTCACCCTCGGTCAGGATGAAATCTGAGTCTTCCTCTCTCAGCGGCTCTTGGTTCTGAAAAGTGCAACGAATGAAAACAGCAAATGGGAGACTGATCTCTGCTTGGGTTGGAGCCAACCTCAACCTCAACCACTCTTCTGAAAACTGGGGCTTGTGAAACTTGCCTGCCTTGAGCCTCCGGTGTGGCTACTGGATGCCAACTGTCGAGTGCTATTCAAGGTAGGGCACCATTGCCAGAACCAGGGCTTTTTTTTTTTTTTTTTAAACAGACTTTTTTTTTTTAAGATTTTATTTATTTATTTGACAGACGGAGATCACAAGTAGGCAGAGAAGCAGGCAGAGAGAGAGGAGGAAGCAGGCTCCCTGCTGAGCAGAGAGCCCGATGCGGGGCTCGATCCCAAGACCCTGGGATCACGACCTGAGCTGAAGGCAGAGGCTTTAACCCACTGAGCCACCCAGGTGCCCCCCGAACGAGGGCTTTGAAGGCTAGGAAGCACTTCTGATTTTTAAACACCTGACAGCTCAGGGTTAGTGCCATAAGGGAAAAAAAGGAGGCCAGCCTGGGCCTTCAGCTTCCCAACCCACAAAAAAAAGGAGGGCGAAAGTCACTGGGCAAAGGTGCAAAGAGGTTTGGGGGTCCCTCTCTTCTCTGGACAGGTCTTCTGAGGGGGCTTCCGGCCCCACACAAACCACCCTAAATGCACCTGGTTTGCATCTGAACTACTCTTTGTCTTAGCCACTGAGGGGCCTAGACAGAGCCCAACTAGGATTGTCTTCCAGTCCCCATAGAAGAACCCCTTCCCCACAGCCCACCCCCTTCCAGCCCCGTCAGGAAGCCCTCTGATGGATGCAGTGAGACTCGGAGAGGGAAGGAGCATTTTCTTGAGCATGTATTTCAGGCCTGCCAGGGAGGCCACTTGAGCTCTCCTCTGACCCTTACCCCTCCCTGCCTGGGAAAGGCAGGAACACTCCTGTCACCAAGGAGACCGTAGCTAAGAGAATCTATGGAATTAGCCCCAGGTGGTCCAGCTGATAGGAAGCAGGGGTGGGATTTCTGAGGCCTCCAGACTGGCTCGGGCGGGGGGGGGGGGGGGGGGGGGGGGGGGGGGGGGGGGTGCAGAGAGGATGGGTCTGTCCGGAAGCGGCCCCGCCTGTAGCTGATGCTGAGCCGCTGTCGCTGCAGAGCAGATCAGGACACCAGACTGGGCAGGAGACAAATGGCGGCCTCTCGGAACTCCCAGCCCATGGGGAGGGCTCAGGAAGCAGCTGCCCCCATGGCACATCTGTCAAACACAGTTCTGGAATGCTTTGGCGAAACTGTTCTCGCTCTCCTAGTTCCCAACTGTTCTTCAAAGGGCATCTGGAGCCCCTGCATTGTCTCAGCCACAGGGTGTCCTGGATGCAGGACATGGGACCCACGTCCCCGACAGCCTCCTGCCCCCCCCCAGAACGCTCCCCCACCAGTCACGCTGCCCAAGGCCATGGGCACATTCTCCCCGGCAAGCCTGCACTCCCCCACCCTTCTTGGTGCCCTTCCCTGAGGCGCAGAAGCCACAGCAGGAGCTAGAGGAGCACCTGGTTAATGCATTCCGCCCCCAGGAGTGCCGGCCGCCTCCTCCAGTCCCAGCGTCTGCATGCGCTCGCTGGGGACAAGCACAAGCCAGCTTTCCGCATTGCACCCCAGTGATGTCGACTTCTCCACGCTCCACAGCGTGACTCCATTAAAATCAATGCTTCGGCTTTGACAGGCAAGCACGCGACTCTTCTTGCTCGCAGCCCCAAATGCTCATGGAATGAGAGTGCAAATGTGCAACCGAGTAAGAATCCTCTACTCAGGCAGAACGTACTCCCAAAACTCACTCCAAACTCCCCATATTCGTCCTCGCCATCAGGGTTTAGAAAGTCCCAAAGCTCCATCTGTCCTGCCATAGTCTTCCTAACAAGAAATGAGCTCACGCTCCCTGTTTTAGCACATTCCATTCCTCCCATGCCTGTGAGTGCTAAGTAATATTTTCATTCATCTCTGTCAAAATACCGCAGCCGAAGCTCTTGGCTCCCCGTTTTCAGGGGGAGCCTCTCCTGGCACGCATTTTACTCTTTCAAGGACAGAGAGGAATGCGAAGCAACAGTACAGAGGGAAATGCCACAAATGCAGCCTCGCCCCCTACCGCAGCCCGGCAGAGCACCCCTGTCCCCAGACACCAGCCCCTGTGTGGCCACACGCAGACCCCTGGCAGGGGGAAGCCGTGCTTAGATTCACCGACAGGAGAAAGCAAGATTGGCTGTTGACCCATTCCATTACGAAACTCACGAGCCTGGACAAAGAGTACCCAAAACAAGGACATTGTAAAACCCAGTGGACAGGGATTTCCAAATCAGAGCTTTAATGAACGTGATGCGCGGATGATGAAACCAATCCACTTCCTTGAATTCTAGATGTTAAGCTGGAGGTCTGTATAACCACGCAACCAGCTGTCTACTGCAGGCTGCCGTGAGAATGCTGTCGAAGAACCCTGCAAACACTTGTGCTACAGGATCGTGCCCATTTTAAACCATCAGCGGTCAACTTCATGAACGGCAGAACCCTGTTTTCTAGGTGGATATCCAACCTGAGTGGTTTAGAGTAAGTGCAAATAGTGAATGAGGGACGTCTTCAACACCGCCCAATGAAACCAAAAGTACCAACGCTCTGTAGGTGACAGGTGAGGACTACAGTGTGTCAAACAGCCACTCGAGAGCGGCCCGGCCCAAGACCCTCACTGGGCTCCAAACTCCACAGGGGGCCCTTCCCCTCTCTCGCCTTGGACTTCCTCAATTAATTTTCAAAGACTCTATGCTCCCACTTTCGACAATAGCAAGCCTCACTGTGTGTGCAGCTGAGACCCCGCTCGGGACCCCAGTCCCAAGCAGCAGGGGCAGTATGGGGGATTCTTCCTTCTTGACCAAGTTGCCCCATCTCTGAGGAGGCTGCTCCTAAGCATACCAGACCCCAGCGCCCCCCACCACCCAGCTATGCCCCCCGACCCTCTGTAGCACCCGAATGCCAACAATCATTCCCAAGCCCGCTGCCCCACCCCATTAGAACCGACCTGGTCAGGGGCCTTCTCTCTCAGATCTGAGCTTTGCATTCTGCTTTCTCAACGCTAATCAAGTCAATTGCAGGTTATTTACAAATTCTCTGAAACCTGCATTAGGGTCTCAGCTGGGCCAATTACTAATCCGGGGACCTGGGCACTTTCTTCCTCTGTAACCCTGTAGTAGCAGCTTACTTACAGTATGGCCAAGAGAATAAACTTGACCTTTGAGAGCTGTAAAGTTCTACACAAACTTAAGGAGTCCTTCTCTCCTAGGGTAGAATGGTTTTGTTCGTGACCAGCTGATTGGGGAGGCAGAGTAGAGAGGAAGAAGGGCCTCTCCCCTCTCCTCTAGTCCTTTTATGTGGAGAGCTGCTTGCTCTCCCCATCCCTCTGCCCAGCAACCCACAGGAAGAGCTCACAAGTCAGCCCCAGAGCTCAGATGTCCACCAGTGTGGATATTCTTTTTGTACTGTGCTAAGTCTGAATCTGAAAACGGAAAGGACCTAACCACATCAATGTAAATAAAGCATACACAAAAAAGAATCCTCACATCTGCTAAAGACTTTGTGGTTCACAGTGTTTTTCTGTATCTTAGCCTTTAATCTCAACAGCCAGCCTGTGCAACTGGGCCCACTTTATGGATAGGAAAACCAAGGCACAGAATATTTAAATGGCCTCGGGGCTTGACTTCAAATCTAGTTGTTCTGATTCCAGATCCAGTGCTCTTTCTACTACACCATGGCTGTGACGTGATGGGGCCCTACGGCCCAGGTAAAAGATTTCTCTGTTACTGTGCAAAACAGATCAACATAAGTTGGCCATTTCTAATCATCTTATTTAGAGAAGCAAAACCTGTGGATCTGGAGGCAAGAGATTTCCTCTTCTTGGAGAAAACACTCCCCGGGGGCAGCGAACAGGAAAACCCGCCTCACGTGCTGTACTTACGTCGTACACCTGGGGACTGGTCAGACACCGAGCAAGCAGGCCACACCAGGCTGGGAGCGTGGTGGTCAGTGGGGGACCGCTGTGTGTGAGGATGGGCTTCAGATAACTTTAAAAAGAGAATTAAGGAAAAAATGTCTGCAAAGAAGACCCACACCCCACACAACGTGTTTAGAAATCCCCCAGAGTAAATCATCTGGACTTCTACCCACAAAAGGCCTCTCCCTACCCTCCTATGCCCCATTTAACCAGTACGCTACAGAAAATCCTTGGGATCTACAATAGTCTGAATCAAAGATTAAACCATCCTCTGTCAGCCCGAAGCGTTCACTGATAACTCTCGGGTTGGCAGTTCCCGCTTCTCAAGCAATAAGAATATCTGAGGTTCATTCGAGCATCCTTCTCACTTCCTTGTTATGTTGAATGAGAATTTTGGTTTCAATCAGTATTCCAGCTTTGGACACACAACCAGCTCATGCCTTGGAAACAGGAGACAGTGTATCAGCTTCTCCACCTGGACACTAGGGGACTGTCCCACCCTGTAGAACACCAGGCCGCACCCCTGGCCTCTACCTACTACGACCCTTCTCCCAGGCATGACAACAAAAGTGTCTTTAGACGTGGCTGAATGTCCCGAGAGCTCCGGGTCGGTCAGTCCATGGACATCTGTGCCCCCAAACGCGTGAGCCCATGTGGGAAGCCCCACGAAGCACGCGTCATCGCATGACAGTGCCTGGGCTGCTTCTGGTATCCAGAGCCCCAGCACTCTGGAGAAGGCAGAGACTCACATGGCCACGGCCATGGCCACAGCAGGAATGGCCGAGAGAACTCACAGGAAGGCGAGGAGGTATCCTAGTCATCTGTACCCCAGGATCTGGGGGATCCTTCTCAGAGAGAGTCACTCCCAGAAGGACAAGGAGTGGGCTCTGCTACAGCTTTTCACGAAACCAAACCAGCCCCATCTGACCACTGCCCTCCACCGTTTCTGGGAATGGCCCCTGCTGGCCTGTCAGCTACTTTGAGTCTGGCCGCAAAGCTGACAGCAGGGCTGGACTGTGGAAGGAGTAACGGAGACGCACACAGGAACCCCAAGGCTACCTTTCAGTGTCCTGCCTGGGGTAGTTCAAAGCCAAGTTCTCACGTCCCCCAATATAAAAGGCCCTCTAACAACTTCTTCAAAAGAGGAAAAAAAAGCTATTTACATATAGATCTTTAAATATGCAGATTCTTTGTTTCTTTACTTTTTTTTTTTTTTTTTCATTTGACAGGCAGAGATTACAAGCAGGCAGAGAGGCAGGCAGAGAGAGAGAGAGAGAGAGAGAGAGAGGAGGAAGCAGGCTCCCTGCTGAGCAGAGAGCCCGATGCGGGGCTCGATCCCAGGACCCTGGGATCATGACCTGAGCCGAAGGCAGAGGCTTTAACCCACTGAGCCACCCAGGTGCCCCTAAATATGCAGATTCTTTGAAGGGCAAAAATGAAATATCAAGTCTCTGTCCCCACCAGTTTTTCTGGTAATTACCATTACAACTTCACCGAAGACTTTTTTTTTTTTTTTAAACTGAGGTATAACTGACATACAATATTATTTTCATTTCAGGTATATAATATGGTGATTTGGCCTTTGTATCTGTTGTAAAATTATCACCTCAATAAATGTGGTTACCATCTGTCACCATAGTCATCATACAAAATACAATATTATAATGACCATATTCCCCATGCTATACATTATATCCCTTTGACTTATTTATTTTGCAACTGGAAGTTTGTATTTCTTTTTTAAGATTTTATTTATTTATTTGAGAGAGAGAGAGAGAGCATAAGGGGGAGTACAGAGGGAAAGGGAGAAGCAGACTCGCTGCGGAGCAGGGAGCATGACACAGGGCTCAACCCGAGGACCCTGGGATTCTGACTTGAGCCAGAGGGCAGACACTTAACTGACTGAGCCACCCAGGTGCCTGAAGACGTTTGTACTTCTTGATCCCCTTCACCCATTTCACTCCACCAACCTCCTTCCCCTCTGGCAGCCACCAATCTGTTCTATCTGTGAATCTGGATTTTTGTTTGTTTTGTTTTTTAGACTCCACATTTAAGTGAAATCAATGTAGCATTTGTTTTTCTCTGATTTATTTCACCTAGCACAATAACTTCAAGATCCACCCATGTTGTCACAAATGGCAAGATTTCATTCTTTTTTATAGCTGAGTAGTGTTCCACTCTGTGTGTGTGTGTGTGTGTGTGTGTGTGTGTGTGTGTGTGTACACCACTAGAATATGTTTTTTCTCCTATTTCTTGATTTAAAAAATTTAGTCAGAGGTTTTAAACTCTCTCCTACAAAGGATGGTACATTTAATTCATTTATACTCCTACCTCTTCAAGTTTTTCCTAATTTTGATTATAATTAATTTTATACAGCAGATATATATATATAAAACATTTACATTCTATTTTATAATTGATAAGCAAATCTTCTATACTTTGTCCATGGACTGAGTCTAAATGTTAAAAGCCACTAAACAGCATTTGAAATAATATTATTATATAAATATTATTCACTGTAACCAAGCAGAGTGGTTACAACACTTTTTTTTTTAAGTAGACTCCATGCCTAGTGTGGAGCCCAGTGTGGGGCTTGAACTCACAATACCTGAGATGAAGACCTGAGCTGAGATAAAAAACCAGACACTAGGGATGCCTGAGTGGCTCAGTCGGTTAAGCGTCTCACTCTTCATCTCAGCTCAGGTCTTGATTTCAGGGTTGTGAGTTCAGGCCCTGTGCTGGGCATGGAGCCCACCTAAAAAAGAAAAAAAAAAGAAAAAGAGTCAAGACACTTAACCAAATGAGCCACCCAGGTGCCCCATGGTTAGAACACCAGTAAAGGAAATGTAATACAGTGTCATTTAAACTTTGTTAGTGAGAAGAGAACTTTTTTTTTTTTTTTTTTATTTGACAGAGAGGATAGATAACAAGTAGGCAGGGAGGCAGTCAGAGAGAGAGGAGGAAGCAGGCTCCCCGCTGAGCAGAGAGCCCGATGCGGGCCTCGATTCCAGGACTCTGGGACCATGACCTGAGCCGAAGGCAGAGGCTTTAACCCACTGAGCCACCCAGGCGCCCGAGAAGAGAACATTTTGAGTGTCTTGCGAAATACAAGATTTTCTTTTAATTTCATTTTGATCTTATTCACTTCTGGGTTATAAAACAATCACTACTTCTTCAATGTTGTCCCGTTAGTTGAATCTGATTTTGGTTTTATTTGATCCTTATGTTGTTGTTGGTTTTCTCCCCCTTCTTAAAGAGTCTGCACAGCGCTAACCTTTCTCAACTCTTGGATGTCTGAAAGCCACTCTCCTTCCTTCCCCCCACTCAGTTTGGGCTCAGGCTTTTTCTTTTCAACCTAGAACTCTGACAATGCTAGAGGGTATTCTAACATTCAATTTTGCTAATGCCACATCTGATTCTTTCTCTTTAAAGGTTTCCAGTCTTTCTCTTTGGAAGCCTCATGAGTCCTGCTTTTCCTCCTTAGTTATGGAATGCTCCAATGTATCCATTCATGCCACTCACACCAGCCGGCCCCCCCACTCTGGAGACAAGAATCTTCCTTAGCCAAGGGATTTTTTTTTCCTTCCATTATTTCTTTGGTTCTTCTTTTCCTCCACCATCTCTATCTTCTTTTAGATTCTGTTAAAGGACTCTGGACCATGTGGCTCTGACCTCTTGATCTCGAAACTCTTCTCTCGCACATCTCTGACTTTGTGCTCAAATTCTCACATATTGTTTTTTTTTTTTTTTCCTCAGCTTCATCTCCCAGATCGACAGTTTGGTCTCCACCATGTAATTAAACTATCCATTACATTTTGGGGTTCATTTCAGAAACCTCATTTCCAAGAGTTTCTTCTTGTTTGCTCGCTTCTTTTTCTAATAGCTTGTTCTTACATCATGACTGGAAAAGCCTTTCAACTCTAAGGCTTTTATCAGAAAATTAAAAAAAAAAATATTGGGGGGGGGCCGCCTGGCTGGCTCAGCTGGTAGAACAGACATCTCCTGATCTCAGGGTCATGAGTTAGAGCCCCGTGTTGGGTGGAGAGTTTACACTTACACACACACACACACACACACACACACACACACACACACGTATATATTTAAGACATACATGTAGATATACAGGAATTAATTACTTTGACATGTCCCCCCATGTCTTTACTCAGTTTCTCAAGCAGGTGGGGAATCTGACCATGTCAAAGTTGGGTGGCAGGGGAGGTTACTCCAGGGAGAAAAATCTTTGGTGGCCTCAAAATCTGTTTCTCTACCAAGCCATTCCCAAGCAGTATTTCTACTTTCTTTAGAGAGCTATGGTTTGAAGAGAAAATTAACAGCTACCGGTTGATCTGTGGACACAGGAAATGCCTGTTGGAGCTGTTACTAAAAACATTCTTCAATAAATCACCTAGACAAACTGGGCTGAGCCTCACTTTGGTCTTGGGCTATGGTTTTCTCTGCTACAATTCTGTCTATCTTTGGTCTTGCAAGTAGTCCAAAATATTTCTTCTGCGATTCCAAGGAGCTCCTGGAATAAGGAGGGAGCTGGTGTGCATGCTGAGCCTCTCATCTTACACTGGAAGCTGGTCTATTCCATTGTCAGGATTGTTCAGTGAAGGAGGTACCACACCTGCTCCTGCTGGCTTGTGGGGCTCATTCCCATCCAGGGAAACCCTCTTTTGATGCAGCCAAAGCCCACGTTTTCTTGTTTGATCATCTGTGGAGCTACAGAATGAACCATGGGCCCCTTCCTCATTGAATTCTTCAGACACTCTGTGTCTGCTTCTGTTCCTAGTTTCTCTCCTCCTAACTAAACAAGCACAAATCCTAGCCACTAAGCTTTACATTCAGAGACTTTAGAGATCACTCCTATTGCTCTTCAAAGAATCAAAGAATCAAAGCCCCACTCGGCTTCACTGAAGTGTGACTCACACAAAACTACATGTATTAAAGACCAAGAGATGTTTAGATAGGTATATATTGTGAAACGATTACCATAATCAAGCTAATTAATATATCCATCACTTCACATACTTACCATTTTTCTGTGTGTCTGGTGTGAAGACTTTA